ACGGTCAGAAAATCATGGAAAAGTCATGGAATTTTAATATTGTGTTTGCCTTTTTAAATATAGTATCAATCACTTTAAAAAAATCTACATATCAACCATGATCAGAATCACTCTGTGTGCATCATCTGCATGTGTGCACTGCCAGTGGGCCTTTGCCCGAGAAGAGACAGATATTTTAGCAGCAGGTAGCCTATATTTAATGATAGACTAACTATATAGCCAATTCAAAACATAGCTTGTAGTATGGCTACTTATCTCGCTAGTTAACTATACTGAACAAAAATATAAAATGCAACATGTAAAGTGTTGGTCCCATGTTTCATGAGCTGAAATAAAAGATCCCAGAAATGTTCCTTACGCACAAAAAGCTTATTTCTCTCCAATTTTGTGCACACATTTGTTTACATCCCTGTTAGTGAGCATTTCTCTTTTGCTAAGATAATCCATCCACCTGACTGGCGTGGCATATCAAGAAGCTGATTAAACAGCATGATCATTACACAGGTGCACCTTGTGCTGGGAACAATAAAAGGCCACTCTAAAATGTGCAGTTTTGTCACACAATACAATGCCACAGATGTCTCAAGTTTTGAGGGAGCGTGTAATTGGCATGCTGACTGCAGTAATGTCCACCAGAGCTGTTGGCAAATAATGTAATGTTAATTTCTCTACCATAAACCGCCTCCAACGTCGTTTTAGAGAATTTGGCTGTATGACCAACTGGCCTCACAATTGCAGACCATGTGTAACCATGCCAGCCCAGGACCTCCAAATCCGGCTTCTTCACCTGCAGGATAATCTGAGACCAGCCACCCGGACAGCTGATGAAACTCAGGAGTATTTCTGTCCGTAATAGTGCCCTTTTGTGGGCAAAAACCCATTCTGATTGGCTGGGCCTGGCTCCCCAGTGGGTGGCCCTGGCTCCCAAGTGGGTGGGCCTATGCCTTCCCATGCCCACCCATGCCTGTGCCCCTGCCCAGTCATGTGAAATCCATAGATTAGGGCCAAATTTATTTATTTCAATTGACTGATTTCCTTATATGAACTGTAACTCAGTAAAATCGTTTAAATTGTTGCATGTTGCATTTATATTCAGTATATTTAGCTGTAGGCCTAAGCATTAATGTCATTGACTCGTTGGCACCTTTCTATTAAACAGTAGGCTATGTAATTCCGACAATAATAAAAATAAAAATAATCTAAGAATAGCCTAATTGACAAAGAACTTCCATGCTGTGCGTAGATCTCCCCTGAAACATGAATATTTGAGCCTTATCAGGTTATAGATAACATGTCTTAGTTAGCTACCTTGCTTTGAAGTAGCCTACCTCGTCCAATTTATCCCTGATTCATTGAATGAGGGAATAATTGTATAAAGACAGAAAAGGATTTGATTTAATGTTGTAACCTTTTATATCAGGAGTGGCCAACCATCCTCCAGGAGAGCTACTGGGAGTGCAGGCTTTTATTCCAGCCCCACTCTAACACACACACCTGTAGACTAAAACATCAGCCTGGTCCTAACACAGACCACACTGTATACCTAACATCAAGCCCATGGTCGAACAACACCACACTGTAAGACTAAACATCAGCCCCGGCTAACACAAACACCACCTGTACGCCTAAACATCAGCCACCGGTCTAACACACCACACTGTAGCCTAAACATCAGCCCCGGTCTAACACACACCGTAGACTAACATCAGCCCCGCTAACCACCACCTGTAACTACATCACCCGGTCTTAACAACCGGTAGACTAAATCAACAGCCCTGGTCAACACAGCCACCTAAGACTAACAGTCAGCCCCGGTCAACACAGTCATCTGATAGACCTAACATCAGCTGGTTTACACCCACCCTGTTATAAACATCAGCCCGGTCAAACACCACCCTGTAGACTAACATCAGCCCCGGTCTAACCACCGTAGACAAACACAGCCTGTCTAACAACAGCACACTATAGACTTAACATCAGCTCGGTCTCAACAACTACCACACTGTAGACTAAATCAGCCCTGGTCTAACTACACACCCTGTTTATAAACTCAGCCCGGTCTAACACACCACCTTAGACAAACATTCAGGCATGTCTAACACACACCCTGTAGACTAACACCAGACTCCGTCTAACACTCGTGACTAAATCATCAGCCTGGTCTAACACAGCACACTGATAGACTAAATCAGCCCGTCTAACCACCACACGTAGACTAAACATCAGCCCTGTCTAACACAGCAACTATAGACTAAACTGGCAGGCTCTGGTCTAACTGACCACACTGTAACTAACATCACCCCGGTCTAACACTACGTTGACTAACATCAGACCCCGTCATAACACACCACACTGTTAGACTAACTCAGCCCCGTCAACAACCAACTGTGATCAAACAGCCGTCTAACACACCACACTTTTAGACTAACATCAGCCCCGGTCTAACCACACTGTAGACTAAACATCAGCCCCGTTCTAACCACCACACTGTAGACTAACATCGCCCGGGCTACACACACGCTTAGTGACTAAACATCTAGCCCCGGCTACCAATGTAGACTAAACATCAGCCCCGGTTAACACACTCGTTTGACTAAAAAACTCATGCCCCACTATCACAGCACACTGTAGACTAACATCAGCCCTGGTCTAATACGCACACTGTAGACTAAACATCAGCCCCGTTAAAACAGCCAACTGTAGACTAAATCAGCCCCGTCTAACACACCACCCTGTAGACTAAACATCAGCCCTGGTCTAATACAGCACACTGTAGACTAAACATCAGCCCCACTCTAACACAGCACACTGTAGACTAAACATCAGCCCTGGTCTATACACCCCTGTAACTAAATCAAGCCCCGGTCTAACAAGCTCATATAGACTAACATCAGCCCCGGTCTAACCACGTAGACTAAACATCAGCTGCTCAACAGGACCTTGCTAAGCCGACTCAGGTGTGTTTCAGGGCTGGATCAAAAGCCTGCCCGCACAGTAGCTCTCCAGATGGAGGGTTGACCACATGTGTTTTATACAGTAGCCTAACAGTGCAGTTATTTTACTTTGTGGGGGGTTAAGTGCCTTGTTCAATGGCACAATGGCAGGATAGCGTAGGTCTATATGGGATCAGAGACCAGAAGCTTTCTATCAATACCACATTTATGCTTGACTTTTTAATGTAGGCTATAGAGACGCCACCAATTATCGGTCATGGAGAAGTCATGAAATTCCATCTGCCAAAATGTTTATGAACCCTTAACAGTGAATAGTCAGTGGTCTCTATAGCATAATGTCATTTGGGAATTTGTGTGTGAACATAGTCTAGTGGACCGACTCCTACACCTTTTTCATCTCAAGTCAAGCACTGGTGTTAGACATAAGGTCAGCCGTGTGGTTAAGGTTAGGGTTAAGTTTAAAATCAGATTTTAAGAAGCTAAATTGTAGAAATGGGCGGGGTTTATGACTTTGTGGCTGTGGTAACTAGTGACGACCCCCCTCAACCTTTCAGCGTTTCTGTGGAGAGTTTCGTGAATGTCAGATGTTCGACTGTTTGGGGACAGCGAGACACAGCGGGATAAGCGCACGTTGATCCGAGAAAGAAAAACGTATTTTTGATAAATGGCTATAATGTTACTTCTTAATAACTAACATTGTCATTTTCTTTCCATTTCTGGAGTATTTTGAAATCACGGGTTTGCCGCTAAAGGTAGGTTTATGTGGGGTTCGGTTTGTGCGCGACTCTCCTTAAAGTTGAGTAGTTATGTAGACAACAGTAGCCTACTCAGTCGTTATTTGACCGTAAGAAAACTGCAGTTTTTGTCAAAATGACAAGAACTAGGCTACATTACTATTCAAGAGTTTTCATTATTGTTGAAAGAAACATCACGCTTTAAAAACACCTGAATGTTGTCATACAGGTAGAACCAGCCAGACAAACACTTTGGAGGAAAAATCTGTCATGATTACTTCCTAAACTATGTTCAACTGTAATGTCTAGTGATAATACCTAATAAAGTGTTGCATGTGTTGTAATGTTTTTATTTTAATATCAAATTAGAGATTGGAATATTGTGTGGTTTTAATAGTACCTACAGTCATTCTCTTTGGGAGTATTTGACAACCGGTTTCACCAACATGGTTTCAGAGCATTTCCTATTATTTTGTAAGTAAAACCCGAGCCACTCCATTTAGTATGATATGTTGTTTGATATGGTACAGTAGGTATTAATTTGTGGATGTGCACCACCCATTTTGTATGATATGTTACGAATTACAATTAGTGTTATATGTTCCGAATTTTCAAAACGTACAATATGTTACGAATTTTCTAAATGTATGTTATGTTACAAATTCTAGCTAGGTGGCTAATGTTAGCTAGCTGGCTAATGTTAGCAAGGCTAGGGGTTAGGGTTAAGTTTAGGAGTTAGGTTAAAGGGTTAGGGAAGGGTTCACTAAAATGGTTAAGGTTAGGGCTAGGGTTAGCTAACATGCTAAGTAGTTGCAAAGTAGCTAGTAAGTTGTTGAAAAGTTGCTAAAGTTGTCCATAATGACATTCGAACTCGCAACCTTTGGGTTGCTAGATGTTCGCGTTATATGCCTACCCATCCACCCTGACCAACCACCCTACTTTCGTTTTTGCCTTAAGTAACCACCTGTCTTATGTAACCATACCAAACTTAACATATCATGCAATTTTGAGTGTTTCGGATTTACTTTTACTATGCTACGTCTAGTCTATGAGACCAGGCTGGTTTCACAGAGGTACAAAATAGTAATGGAGACAATAGGCCTACTTACTGATTTCCTTCCTCTCCTCTCTTCCCCTCACCTCTCCATTCTCCCCTCCTTCGCCCTCATCTCACCCACTCTTCTTTTCTTCTCCTCTTTTCTCACATTACCCTGTCTTCCCTCCCATGTTTCTCCTCTCATCCCTCTCCTTTCCCCTCTTCCTCTTCCTCATCCTCCTCTCCTCTGTCTAGATCTCCAGCCCGCAGTAAGACATGTCATTGGCAGAGCCAGCAGAGTTGCTGCTGATAAGGGACCACTATGACCGTGCGTTGGATTGTCTGACCAGGGGCCTGGCGGCCGACCAGGCAGGGCAGGGGCCCCAGGCCCTGGAGCTGTACAGGAGGGGCCGGCAGCACCTAACCCTGGGCCTGGAGGTCCCTACCAGGGGGCCACGGAACCAGGGGGCCCCTTGGGATACGGCCAGGCAGCTGCAGCAGAAGATGAGGGAGACTCTGACTAACATCAGCACCCGAGTAGCTAACATGGAGACAGCTGGGGTGATGCCGGCGGGCCAGGGAGGCCCAGCGTTGGTGGATCTAGTGGATCTTTCTTCTCAGTGCCTCTACCCCACCCTGGGGCCATTGGTGCCACCTGTGCCGCAGCCTGGTTCCTCCAACCCCCTCCTCCACCTCTACCCCACATTGCCACCCAAGGCCGGGACTACAGGCACCACCATGGCCACCTCTCTGCCCGTCATCCCTGCCCTGCCGCTGGGGCTCCCAGGAGAGCAGCCCCCGGCCTACACCCCCAAACCCACCGACGGGCACCACAGCCTGGCTTATAGCCCAGCCGGAGGAGGGGGTCTGGGCCTGGGGGGAGCTCCACAGCCCGGGGGAGAGGTAGGGGGGGACGGAGAGGAGCTTCTGTTCCTCCCTCGGGGGGTGCAGATGTTTTTCGTGTCGTCGGACGGCCAGGTGGGCACCCCGTCGTACCCGGGTTACCTACGCATCATCAGGTTCAGCAGCCAGCTCAAAGACATAGCCAATGGAGGAGCGTCAGCCTTCCTACACGTAAGGAAACAACTGGAGTGTGTTGAAGAGAGAGAGAGAGAGAGTGAGAGTGAAAATGGGTGTTGGCTTGTGTGTGTTTTTTAAAAGAGCAATAGAAAATAGCATATTGTCTCACACACCTATCGTATTACCAGGTGCATGGAGAGTAACTGCATAATGAATTTAAAAGAAACTCCTGTTTGTAAAAGAGCAGTAGAGAAAGGGTTGAGGGCAACTGAGGTAGTTTCATCTAACTGTTTTAGGCTGGGCGGGGTTGTCTGCGTTCTGTCTTGTACAGGGTTGTGTTCATTAGGGGACCCAATGGTCTAAAACCTCATATTTGTGCGTTTCAAAAAGTTTTGCTACGTTGTGCCCTACTGAACATGCCCCAGATAAGATCTGTTGTTTACAGATGAAGTTGATTCGCCGCAACATCATAGACAATATCTTATTCCAGATGAGTGAGACTGACCGGAGTGTAACCATATCTCTTGGTTCAGGGTTAGTGAGACGGATAGCAGATCCCATAGACTGATACTGTGTCAACCCAGTGCTCAAGCATTCCGTACACAGACAGACAGAGGTGGGATGGTCTACCATAAAAAAAAAAAGTTTTATTGTCACGTACAACGTGCAGTTTTACAAGCCATAGCAGTACAGCACATCAGGAGCAAATTAAGGGCCTTGCTCAGGGGCACGTCATAAGATTTTTCACCTTGTCGACTCGGTATTCGAACCTTTCGGTTACTGGCCCAACACTGCAAACGCTAGGCTACCTGCCGCACTTATTATTTCTGTTTGGTGTTGCTATGACCAAGAAGAATTCCCAGACCTGAATGGAATTCTAGAATTCTCTCCCAGTGGTGAGGTCACAATGCATGAACTCCATTAGGCAGAGGAGAGGATGAGAGGAGGATTGTGGGAGGTTCTGCTGAATGAGAAGTATTTCTAGTCCTGATGATGGTGATGTTCCCCTCGTGGAACCAATTACACCTAGAACATCCACACAAAGTTCTACGTGGGTAAACGACAACATTGAATTTAGAAGGGAATGGATGGCTCTGTTAATGTAACTGGTGATTGGAGTCTGAAGAGACAAAGAAATAGGCTTCAGAGAGAGTTGTGTCAAAACACTACATTGATTACTGTGCCTTTTTGACTGGCTGGAACATGCAATAGGTCATTTGCTCAATAACAGCACATGATTGGAAAGGTACAGACTCATTCCAGAGCCAAAGTTTACTGCTGTGTCAGCGATGTTTTTAGTCTGTCTATCAAAGATGATCCTGAAGTTTTTTTGTAAGTGTGTATTGATCTGGTGGGGGACTGAGTTGGGGCAAGACTGGCCTTCGGCAGACAGACGTTTGGAGTTTGATTCCCAGATGGACTTCTCACAGGTTGCTGTAATGTACAATGTCAAGGGATTTGAGATCTAGGCTTGGTCCCAAATGGCACCCTATCCTCTATAGCAGGGTTTCCCAAGCTCAGTCCTGGGGCCCTTCCTGGGTGCACATTGTGTTTATTTTTATTATCCCTAGCACTACACAGCTGATTCAAATAATCAAAGCTTGATGATGAGTTGATTATTTGAATCAGCTGTGTAGTGCTAGGGCAGAAACCAAAACGTGCACCCAGGTGGGGCCCCAGGACCGACGTTGGGAAACCCTGCCCTATATATAGTGCACTACTTTTGTATAAGGCTCTGGTTTAAAAGTAGTGCACTATATAGGGAATAGGGTGCCATTTTGGGACATGACCTAGTCAAACGTGCTAAACCCAGCCGTGTGTGTTGACTGCCCTGCCCTGATGTGTCTGACTCTAACCCTGTTGTGTTCTGGATAGCTCACTGTCCCAGCAGTACAATAGGGCCTGTTAACAGATGACTGTGCTGTTCTGTTGTGTTTTGTGGCTGCGGTGTTGTAACCCTGGCTAGGGTCCGAATGAACAAACAGCAGTCTCAAATCAAATCAAATCAAATTGTATTGGTCACATGCGCCGAATACAACAGGTGCAGACATTACAGTGAAATGCTTACTTACAGCCCTTAACCAATAGTGCATTTATTTTAAACAAAAAAGTAAGAATAAAACAACAACAAAAAAGTGTTGAGAAAAAAAGAGCAGAAGTAAAATAAAGTGACAGTAGGGAGGCTATATATACAGTAAAATAAAGTGACAGTAGGGAGGCTATATATACAGGGGGGTACCGTTGCATAGTCAATGTGCGGGGGCACCGGCTAGTTGAGGTAGTTGAGGTAATATGTACATGTGGGTAGAGTTAAAGTGACTATGCATAAATACTTAACAGAGTAGCAGCAGCGTAAAAAGGATGGGGTGGGGGGGCAGTGCAAATAGTCCGGGTAGCCATGATTAGCTGTTCAGGAGTCTTATGGCTTGGGGGTAGAAGCTGTTGAGAAGTCTTTTGGACCTAGACTTGGCACTCCGGTACCGCTTGCCGTGCGGTAGCAGAGAGAACAGTCTATGACTAGGGTGGCTGGAGTCTTTGACAATTTTGAGGGCCTTCCTCAGCCCTAACGATGCCAACTGCCAACCAATGATATAGTCTACACACTGTATGCCGTACATGTTGTTGTGTTGGTAGCCACGGTGTTGTAACCCTGAATACCTCTGGCATACACACTGTAATCCTAGTAACCCCAGTGTTCCTTCCTAACGCGTGTGTGTTGCAGGTGTGTGATTGGCTGTACCCCCTGATGCCAGACACCCCAGTGCTGCTGTCTACCTCTGGGATCTTTATGTTTCCTGACACCATGGCGGGGATGCCCGGGTCCTACGTAGGGGTTGTGCTGTCCTCAGAACTGCCTGCAGCAGACAGACACGCCTTTCAGGACCTCCTCTCACAACTCACTGAGCTACGGGTACAGGTGAGGTTATACGCACACACACACACACACACACAGTGTCCATTCTCTCCATTCCATTCCCACCCTCCTAAATACTGCCTTATCTGTCTGTGACGTCAGAGAGAAAGCCAGCTCCGAGCCTGTCAGTCAACCACCACCCACCCATACAGTAATACACACCCACTCTCACAGTAACACACACGCTCACAGTAACACACACTCTCACAGTAACACACACTCTCACAGTAACACACACGCTCACAGTAACACACACGCTCACAGTAACACACACGCTCACAGTAACACACACGCTCACAGTAACACACACGCTCACAGTAACACACACGCTCACAGTAACAACCCACATTAACACCACTCTCACAGTAACACACACAGCTCCGAGCCTGTACACACCACCAGTAGCAAACACGCTACAGTAACACACACGTCAAGTACCATCACGTAACAGTGAACTACATACCGTTACCTAGTGAACAGACTGCTGACAGTAAACATACCGCCAGTAAGCACACTGCACAGTAACTGACACCCACAGTTACCACTGCTCACAGAACACACAGCTCACAGAATACACACGCTCACGTAACACACACGCTGGCAGTAACACACACGTACATGTGATACCACCTCACAGTGACACGGCTCAACAGTAACAGCCACGCTCACGGTAAACACTTCACGTAACACAACGTCACAGTGGTAGACACGCACGTGTAAACACACGTCATGCGGTGAACAGAGCTGGTAGGCTGAAACAACACAGCGTAAGCGTGAGGACTAAGCGGGTGAACTACAGCATGTACGCGGACGGAGCTCACAGGTAACACACACGCTCGACTGTGAGGACACTGCACAGCTAACACAACAGTCACTGACGCTGCAGGCTACAGAAAAAGGCAAGTAACACAACTCTACACGTAACGACTACGGCTCACAGTACAAAACCACAGTTACACAGCAGTAACAACGCTCACAGAACACCACGGCAGACCACAGCTACATGAACACACAGTACGTGAGGACTAAGCTGGCTAACAACCCGTGTACTGCGAGCTGACAGTAACAAAGCTCAAGTAACACTACGGTCACGAGTAACACCGGCTGCTGAACTACAGCAGCTGACTCACAGTAACACGACGGCTCACATAACATACTCTGTGAGGACTAGACGGTACACCACGCTCACGGGACACAAGCTCAAGAAGCGACTACCTCACGTAAACCACTGCCAAGTAGACAGCACGGCTACACCAGTGATACACTGTGAACTAGCGCGCGTAACACACACGCTCACTGTGAGCACTCACGTGAACTCAAACAGGACGCTGGTGAGGACTAGCGGTAACACACACGCTCAGTACACTACGACGCTGCTGAAACACAGTTAACTCACGACGGTCACAAGTAAGGCGAACTACACAGGTACTGGTGAGGACTAACGCTGCAACTAACACACGTACTCGACAGGAACACACTCGCTAACTAACACACTGTACTGCTGGAGACGTAAGTACACACACTACACAGTTAACGCATGTGAAGTAACACAGACGCTCACAGAACACACACGCTCACAGTGAGACAACGGCTCACAGTAACAACACGTCTGCAGTAACCACTACAAGCTGCACACACAACAGTAACCACGATGGTCACGTAACAACGCTCACATCAACACACATCGCTAGTGAGCACTAGAGCTGGCCAGTACAACTACTCACTAGTAACACACAGCTGACTAGAACACACACGCTAACAGTAAACACGACGTCACGTAACAGACGAACTCACAGTTAAACACAGTAGAACCAAGCTGCTGTAACAGCCAGTGAACTCAGGTGAAGAAGCTGGCTGAACACAAACAGGACTGCTGGTGAGGACTAGACGCACTGTGAACTACACAGCTGCGGTCGGACTAGAACGTGCTGAACTACAAACCGTATGCTAGGGAGACTAACGCGAACTAAGCAAGACACGGAAGACTAAAGCACGCGAACTACACACACGCTGACAGTAAACAAGCTGCTGACAAACACGTACAGTACAGACAGCTACGTAACACACAGTGACTACGAAACTAGAGCTGGCTAACTACAACAGTTACACGTAGACACTACGCTGCGTAACACACACGCTCACAGTAACATCACACGCTGAAATAACATACTGAGACAAGCGCTGCGAACACAACAGTCACGGTAAGCACACCTCACAGACTAAAACACACTTCCAGCTAAACTACACAGACGCGCTGACACAGATGTCAACCTACAGTAGACACACCTACAGTAACACACACGCTCACGTAACACACAGCTGCCAGTAACACACACGCTCAGTAAACCACGCCACAGCTAACACACAGCATGTCACAGTAACAGCACCTCACAGTAACAACAGCTACGTAACACAACACGCTACAGTAAAAACACACGCTCACAGTAACACACACTCTCACAGAACAAAACCACGCTCAAAAGTAACACACACGCTCACAGTAACACACCACGCTCAAAAGTAACACACACGCTCCCCAGTAACACACGCTCCAGTAAAAAACAAGCTCACAGTAAAACACAAACCCCACAGTAACACACACGCTCACAGTAACACACAACTCACAAACAACCTCACAGTAACACACAGCTCACAGTAACACACACCCACAGGAAAAACCTACGCTCACAGTAACACACCACGCTCACATTAACACACACGCTCACAGTAACCACACGCTCACAGTAACACACACGCTCACAGTAAAAACAACACCTCACAGTAACACACACGGCTAAAAGTAAACACACACGCTCACAGTAAACACACCTCACAGTAACACACACCTCACGTAACACACACGCTCACAGTAAACACAACGCTCACAGTAACACACACGCTCACAGTAACACACACCTCACAGTAACACACACCTCACAGTAACACACACGCTCACAGTAACCACACACGCTCACAGTAACACCCCCACCTCACAGTAACACCACACCTCACAGTAAACACACACGCTCACATACACACACGCTCACAGTAACACACACGCTAAAAGTAACACACACGCTCACAGTAACACACCCCGCTCACAGTTAACACACACGCTCACAGTAACCCACTCTCACAGTAAAAACCCCACCTCACAGTAACACACACGCTCACAGTAAACACACACTCTCACAGTAACACACAAAGCTCACAGTAACAAACACGCTCACAGTAACACACCACTCTCCACATAAACACACACGCTCACGAACACACACTCTCACAGTAACACACACGCTCACAGTAACACACAAAGCTCACAGTAACACACACGCTCCACAGTAACACACGCTCACAGTAACACACACGCTCACAGTAACACACACGCTCACAGTTTAACACACACGCTCACAGAAACACCCACGCTCCAGTAACACACCCCGCTCACAGTAAAACACACTCTCACAGTAACACCACCTCACAGTAACACACGCTCACAGTAACACACACGATCAAAAGTAACACCCCCCTCACAGTAACACACACGCTCACAGTAACACCACTCTCACAGTAACACACACGCTACAGTAACACACACGCTCACAGTAACACACACGTCACAAACACACACGCTCACAGTAAACACACGCTCACAGTAACACACACTCTCACAGTAACACACACGCTCACAGTAAAACACACGCTCACAGTAAACACACGCTCACGTAACACACACTCTCACAGTAACACAACCTCGCCACTAACACACACGCTCACAGTAACACACACGCTCACAGTAACACACACGTCACAGAACCACACACTCAAGTAACACACCGCACGTAACACACCGCTCACAGTAACACACACCTCACAGTAACACAACGTCACGCCACAGTCACGTTAACACACAGCTCACAGAACACACGCTACGTAACACACAGCTCACAGTAACACACATCACGTAACAAAACCACGCTCACGTAACAACACGCTCACAGTAAACAAAACCCCTCACGTTAAACACACGCTCACAGAACCAACCCCCAAACCGCTGAGATGCAGTCAACCACCAGTACAGTAACATAAGCTGGCTGAAATACACAGTGTACTGCTGGTGAGACTAGAGCTGGTCTGAACTACAACATGTAGCTGGTGAGGAAATAGAGCTGCTGAAACAAGTTATGTTAAACAAGCGCTTAACAAAACATACTGCAGTAACTAAGCGGCTGCTACTACAACATTACGGGTGGGAACAGAGCGCCGAACACACACGTGTACCAACAGACTGGGGAGCCGCGAAACACACAGTACTGCTAGGAAGGCTAGAGCTGGGTGAAACAAAGGGGTAAGGCTGGTGAGGACTAGGCGGGGCTTAAACAGGATGGGTGAGGACTAGAGCTGGCTGAACTACAACAGTGTACTGCTGGTGAGGACTAGAGCTGGCTGGAATCTGTGGGGGCAATGTCCTCAAAATGTCCCCATACAAATGTTTCAAAGGCTGCAATTCAAACAAAACCCACCACATTAGCAATGCTTACGCAGTGTCTTTGTTCACAAATTAGTGTGTAGTCACGCACGCACGCAGACACACACACACAACCCACTTGGAAATCCCAGACCTGGAACATTGTTACATTGTAGGAGGCAACCCATCTGCCTAGGGGGAATGGGCTGGGCTGGGAATGGGCTGGGGTGGAGTTGGAATGGGTTTGGAATGGGCTGTGTTGGGAATGGGCTGGGCTGGGGTGGAGTGGGTTTGGAATGGGGCTGGGCTGGGGTTTGGTAATGAGCTGTTGTGGGAATGGGCTGGGCTGGGACTGGGCTGGGGTTGGGTGGTGTGGGAGTGGGTTTGGAATGGGCTGGGGCTGGCTGGGCTGGGCTGGGAATGGGTTTGGGCTGGGGTTTGGGTGGGGTGGGGTGGAGTGGGTTTGGAATGGGCTGGGAATGGGTGGGGCTGGGGTTGGGTGGAGTGGGTTGGGAATGGGTTGGGTGGAGTGGGTTGGGGAATGGGTTGGGTTGGGTGGGGTGGAGTGGGTTTGGAATGGGCTGGGGTTGGGTGGGGGGTGGAGGGTTTGGAATGGGCTGGGGTTGGGTGGGGTGGAGTGGGTTTGGAAAGGGCTGGGCTGGGTTGGGTGGGGTGGAGTGGGTTTGGAAAGGGCTGGGCTGGGTTGGGTGGGGTGGAGTGGGTTTGGAATGGGCTGGCTGGGGTTGGGTGGGGTGGAGTGGGGTTTGGAATGGGCTGGGGGTTGGGTGGGGTGGAGTGGGTTTGGAATGGGCTGGGGTTGGGTGGGGTGGAGTGGGGTTTGGAATGGGCTGGGGTTGCGTGGGGTGGAGTGGGTGTGGAATGGGCTGGGCTGGGAATGGGGTGGGGTGGAGTGGGTTTGGAAAGGGGTGGGGTGGGGTGGGAATGGACTGGGCTGGGTTGGGTGGGGTGGGAAGTCCTAGATCAGCACTACTCTGAGATGCTTTATGGATGCAGGCCCAGGTCAGGTGGGTCCCATGCTCTACATACTAAACCCTCATATCTGCTCCGTGACCTCATTTCCTGTCTGTTAGGGTCCAGAGGAGGGGGCGGGGTCAGAGATCATGAACCTGAGTGAGAAGGTTCCCATTGGTCTCCCTGTGGAGGGGGCGGGAGCAGGGACGGGGGAGGAGAAACCCCCCCTACCTGAGTGGAGCGAGAAGATGTCCCAAGGCATCCTGGCAGGTATGGGGGTGTGTGTCTATGTGTGTGTGACTGTGTGTGTGTGTCTATGTGTGTGTGACTGTGTGTGTAGGTGTGCATGCACTTGTGAGAGAGAGCGGACATGCAGTCTGTCTGTCTGTCCCTCCTGCAGGTGCATCATGGCTGAGTAAGGGGTTTGTGCGTGGAGCGGAGGCCACAGGTAAGGCCATTCATAAAGGAGCGTCCAAGCTGAGAGAACACATCACCCCAGAGAACGTCCCAGCTGAGGTCAGCCCTGGGGTCACTAAGAGCCTGCACCACGCAAAACAGGCCACCGGGGGCGCTGTTCGCGTCAGTCAGTTCCTGGGTAAGGACATGGAGGGTATAAAACAAAGATGATATCTCTACTGGATGGAGGGGGCAGATAAAGGTCACCAAAACACATGATGTAGACACTTGGTGTGTGTGTATACTAACACTCTTGTAAACTTGTGTTTGTGTGTTTGCAGTGGACGGAGTGTGTACCGTAGCAGGCTGTGTGGGGGAGAAGCTGGCTCCTCATGTAAAGAAACATGGCAGTAAACTGATCCCTGAGTCCATGAAGAACACTAAAGATGGCCGCTCCAACCTGGACGGAGCTATGGTGGTGGCAGCCAGCAGCATGCAGGGTAGGGAGAGAGAGACACACAGTAGCGACCGTGATCCAAACACAGAATATTTTGATTATCCGAGTGTACTAGGGTGACCTGCCTATCTAATAATCAAACTATTCTCTGTGTATCGCTGTCTAAGGTCTCTCCACTATGTGGACTGGTTTGGAAACTGGAGCAAAGAACATCGGCAAGAGTGTCACCTCTGAGACGGTCACGACCGTGAAGCATAAGTAAGTTCCCCTCTATCATCCCCCTCTTCCTCTCTCTCCGCCCTCCTCGCCCTCCTCCTTCGGCCTCCTCCTCGCCCTCCTCCCTCGGCCTCCTCCCTCGGCCTCCTCCCCCCTCCTCCTCCTCCTCCTCCACCCTCCTCCTACTCTTCCTCCTCCTACATGTAACCATCATTAGATCTTCTATCACTCTATTTTAAGGGGCTATGCTTTTCTCTTCTCTTTGTTTCACCCCTTTCATCATGGTCTTTGTATTCTGGGTGCCAGCTAGTGTCTTCTTTATCCCACTAGATGCGGTCTTTGGCAAGGCAACAATGTAGTGTTGTTATTAGAGGGAGAAACACACTGGCAGCCAGGCTGAATTCTAGAACTTTCTATTTTTCCACACCTCTCCTTTCCCTCCTTCCCTCTCGCCATCTCTCTTCTTCTTTTCCAGATTTCGGGGTCTAGAGGGTCTTTTAGACAACCCCAGCAACTGACGGGTCGGGGAGTAAAGACAGAGACCTTTGAACTGTAACCTTTGACCTTTGTGACTGAATACTGACTGAATCATCCCTATGTGAATAACTCTGCTCTGGCCTGAAAATGACCCGTGATCCCTAACCCCTAGCTTCTAGCTCCTAGTCCCTAGTATCTAGCTCCTAGTCCCTAGCCCCTAATCCCTATCTCCTAACCCCTAGGCCCCTAATGCCTAATTCCTAGGAACTTGTGTTGATCTAAGTCCATTGAAAGGCTAGGTGGTGGAAGGTGGAACCATCCAATATGGAAGGTCCAACCATCCTCATATTGCTCACACCTATCCTCGGATCAAGGCAATGGAAGGGATTATTGATTGTTTTCAGACAGGCAGGGGTCCTGGCAGGCCTGTGTGTCTGTGTGTTTTGGGTGGAGGTACCGTTCTTATGTGAAGCCTCTTTCCTGCTTTGTTACTAATAAACCTAATATGAAATCAAATAACTTCAGTGACTCTGTCCCCTCTTTCACTGATTGTGCATCCCAAATGGCACCCTATTCCTTACATAGTGTACTACTTTTGATCAGGGTCCATAGGGCTGTGGTCAAAAGTAGTGCACCAGATAGGGAATAGGGTGTCATTTGGGACGCATTTACACACACTGTATCTTTACCATTATACTGGGCTGGGCTTATTACCATAGAACCATTCCATTGTGTCTGTCTGCCTGATCGTATCTTTTCTACCATCCTCTGCCTTGGAGTTAATGCTCCCTCCCTACTCCCTCCCTCGCTCCCTCCCTACTCCTCCCTCCCTCCCTCCCTACTCCTCCCTCCCTCTCTCCCTACTCCTCTCTCCCTCTCTCCCTACTCCTCCCTCCCTCTCTCCCTACTCCTCCCTCCCTCTCTCCCTACTCCTCCCTCCCTCGCTCCCTACTCCTCCCTCCCTCGCTCCCTACTCCTCCCTCCCTCGCTCCCTACTCCTCCCTCCCTCGCTCCCTACTCTTCGCTCCCTACTCCCTCCCTCGCTCCCTACTCCTCTCTCTCGCTCTCTCTCCCTACTCCTCCCTCCCTCGCACCCTACTCCTCGCTCCCTACTCCTCCCTCCCTCTCTCACGACTCCTCCCTCCCCTCGCTCCCTACTCCCTCCCTCGCTCCCTTCTCCTCTCTCTCCCTCTCTCCCTACTCCTCCCTCTCTCCCTACTCCTCTCTCCCTACTCCTCCCTCCCTCTCTCCCTACTCCTCCCTCCCTCTCTCCCTACTCCTCTCCCTACTCCTCCCTCTCTCCCTACTCCTCCCTCCCCTCCCTCCCTCTCTCCCTACTCCTCTCCCTACTCCTCCCTCTCTCCCTACTCCTCCCTCTCTCCCTACTCCTCCCTCTCTCCCTACTCCTCCCTCTCTCCCTACTCCTCCCTCCCTCCCCTCCTCGCTTCCCTCTAACCCTGCCCACTTCCACCCATCCTATGATGAAGGTACGGCGATGACGTGAGCAAAGCCATGGACACGGGCATCCAATCAGTGATCAACGTGGGCGTGGCCGCGTTCAATGTGGACAACCTGGGTATCAAGGGTGTCCTGAAGACTGCTGGAAAACAGACCGCTAAAGCTGTGTGCAAAGAGCAAAACAATACCACACAGGCCACAGTCGGAGACCACAACCACACAGTCAACGGAGGCCCAGCGGAGAAAGAGATGAGGGAGAGGAAGAACAATGAGGAAGAGAAGAAATAGATGTCATAATTATTTAGTGGCTCTTGTCTATTTGGCCTCTATATCTTTTGGCCCCTCTCTGTGTTCATAGGCCCCTATATCTTTTGGCCCCTATATCTTTTGGCCCCTCTCTGTGTTCATAGGCCCCTATATCTTTTGGCCCTACATCTTTTAGCCCCTCTCTGTGTTCATAGGCCCCTATATCTTTTGGCCCTACATCTTTTAGCCCCTCTCTGTGTTCATAGGCCCCTATATATTTTGGCCCCTCTCTCTTTTGGCCCCTCTCTGTGTTCATAGGCCCCTATATCTTTTAGCCCGTCTGTGTTGGTAGATCTGAACGGAGTAGATACTGTAGGTGTAAGAGTCATGGTGATCGCTCCACACATAGCCCTCCTACCTCCAGTTTGCAAAAAAAGGTAATTGCATCATATTGTTTTTAATCTATCCAGACCTTTCGGTGGAGGGTGAAGTTGCCCCTAGTGGCTGATCTTGGGTGCAGTTTTGTATTTCCCCCCACTAATGGTTAAGGTTAGGATTGAGGGATGGGGAAGCTGGTCCTAGATCTGTACATAGGGGATACGTCAGTTCTTTCAGACCAGTGAACACTGAAGAGCTCAGGATTATAAGAGATCATGGCTATAGGGAAGGGACTGTTGGAGACCGGCACCGATTAGGTTCATTGTGCTCTCTCACCTTACTGTATGTAGCCTACTTAACTGTTAATTCCTCTGAATGTTGAAGGCATATTAAATGAAGGACATAAAATGTGTAATATATAAATATTTGTATCTGTGCCAAAATATACCAATATATCTCTGACACTGTTGTTGAGTTTCCCTGTGGGGTTTGTAATTAAACTGTCCATTTTAATATTGTAATTTGTTATGAAAGGATTTTCTGTTCATTATTTTGTTGCTTCGTGTTCTTGATTGTCAGATCAGATGGATCAGAAATAGCAGATTAATAATCGACTCAAGAAGAAGAAGAATTCCAGTGCGTTTATTTGAACCGAAACGCATGTGCGAGAAAATACCAATCTTTCCGCATTGCCAGGCGCATACAAGCGTACTACCGTTTTTCAAAGCGCAAGTGACGCGCCACTCCTTCAGATCCTCTGAAATCAACTTCCGACAACATGCAGGACACGACTGTCTCCATTGGCAACGAGAAGAACAAACTTAGCATTGATTGCAACTTTGAGAAGAATAACATGGGAGATGCAGACTTCAGCAAATACGATTTAGCCCGTTTACAGGACGAATTGGAGCAGGAGAGAGAGATGAAGTAAGTACAACGTGTATTGTAAGGGACTATACTTTATTTATAATGATGGATACCTGAAGAAAATCGGACCTCTGAAATGGAAATGGATGGCCAACTCTTCAGTAAAATATATTTTATCCAACCCTCCCTGAACGCTTAAAAAATAGAGCCCCCCCCTACACCCAAAATAATCATTAAAACAAAGTCGATAGCAGAGAACATGCCTACTCCTAGACTCAAGTGAGCCTACACTCACAAAATGCAGTCAAGCCATCCGCTCTTCAGTTTCTGCTTGAATATTTCAGCGCGAATAAACGACACTTTACTGTATCGCGTGTTTTCTGGTAGGGAAACTGTCAGATACACTCTCGTGCACCGCTACAAATCATTCCGAGCAAACCGTTTGAAGCGCACTTATTCAATTATCCATAATCAAAACTATACCAAATCGTTTATTTCATTTTTACGCCTTATCAAAAATGTATTTGATTTCACGGACAGAGTGTGGCTGCAGCGGCTGCAGTAGCCTAACGGTGGTGCTGTTTAGGAAATGTTAAATTGTTAATGCAAGATATGTTTACAGTCATGACATACAAACACAACACACACACACGGCTTCACAGGCAGATCTAAGTGATGGTTTTTAGTAGATCATTAATCTAGTGTGATGACCATTGTTTACCATACAATGCCCAGATTATGCCATCTTAAAATATGGGTTAATATAATTGGTTATTCTATATTAACAGTTCACTTTTAAGTAGGCTAACATAATTCAATTTTAACACAGTAAAATTGGATGGTAAACATTTTGTCATGTCTGCCACTAGTACATCACTAATATATTTCCATTAACATTGTAATGCTTAAGTGTGTATTCGCGCTGACAAATTCAGGCGGAAACTGAAGAGCGGATGGCGGATGGCTTGACCGTGTTTTGCGAGTGTCGGCTCACTTGACTGCAGTGGACAAACTCTAGGGGTGAAAAGATCCCTATTATAATAAAAAGGACTGCATGAATCTATAATCTAATTGAAAAAAAAAATCCTTCTATAAACTCCTTTCATGCAATTCTACTCATTTTACATGACTGGAAACAAGCAGAATCTTTTTTTAATACCACAACAGAGCATGACAAGGAATGAGCGCATACTGCAGCACCAGAGACGTTTTGATTTCTATACAGGCTATTGTTAAAAAAAAAAGAGAACAGTTTGGAACAGTGCTAAAGTTGTCTATCAGCTGTAAAAATGTAGCGCAACAGAACCAGTTACAACTGAAGTATCTGATCAATGAATCGGAGAAAAAGCCACTAGTTCCTTAACACAGCAGCCTCATATCATCAGGTAGGCCTATGTTCCCTTGCAACTTTTCGAATTTATTCTATTTTATGTGTTTTTTACAAAATAGATTTGTGTTTTCTGTGATTAGGGCATGGGAATATAAGAGCATCTGATAGGCTAAATTAACACAATAGGCATGCATCTCACCTCACGATCCTTAAACCAAAGACTGGCCAAACTCATGTTTCTGAAAGTAATTTCAAAGGCACTGTAGAATGTGGATTTTTTTTGTGTGAAAAAACTAACAAAAACAGTCTAAATGCGAAATGTATAGGCATGTTGTTGAAGTGCTGTTGATGTGTTGAAATGCTGAGCTCTCCTGCCAGCCTGTAGCTGTCACAAATGCTTCACAAATTATTTCTTAAACGGCAGGCTGTAGCCTTGAAATAATAATAATAATATGCCATTTAGCAGACGCTTTTATCCAAAGCGACTTACAGTCATGCGTGCATACATTTTTGTGTATGGGTGGTCCCGGGGATCGAACCCACTACCTTGGCGTTACAAGCGCCGTGCTCTACCAGCTGAGCTACAGAGGAAATGGCATATTATTAATAGCCTGTTGAAATGTTGAACGTCAATTGATAGTGGCAGAATCACACATTACTTCCCAAGCAAAGTAAATGTTTTGTCTCCTCGGCTATAGAAGGTTGTAGCGCAGCCTCTGAATTCCATAGCGACAAACCAAATATATCTCATATGCATCGGATTCGCGTCTTTCCCCCACATCTTACTGCTTGTTTCTAGCATAAAGCATCACGGACTAAAGCGTCGTTTTATATAATCAGATCCATCATTTTATTTTCAAAATCATAAGCTAACAAAGGGTAGGCCTCTGCTTTTATCCATTGTCTTTAACAAAAGCCACAATACCCTCACACAACCCCCTCAATTCAAGCCCTGGTTTCAACTTAACACACCAAGCCCTTCACTGACACTAAGATATTTAAGGAGTGCATGGTGACTGAAGGAATAGGCTTACTAAATCTATGGATAGTAGACTATAATTTTGTCTGTCGAACAGGTAGGCCTACCTCTTAATTGTGGTCCTCTGTAGCTCAGCTGGTAGAGCACGGCGCTTGTAACGCCAAGGTAGTGGGTTCGATCCCCGGGACCACCCATACACAAAAAATTTATGCACGCACGACTGTAAGTCGCTTTGGATAAAAGCGTCTGCTAAATGGCATATTATTATTATTATTAATTCTTGAATAGGAAGAAGTAGGCTCCAACACAAAGCCCTCTTGTTGTTAGAAGCCTAAAGTCAAATGAAAATGAAGACTGTTTAAATGAATTAGCCTACGTTAAGCACCCATGCACTGTACATCTCTGCGGCTGCCGCTTCATAGTAATGTAAGTTATTGTGAGGTCAACTTTGCTCTGTGCTTCTCCCAGCATGCTCTTGGTATAGCCTAGGCTTGTATAGGCTATGGATCATTTGATAGCAACTACACTAGGTGTACTTGATATTGCACGCCCAGCAGAGAATCAAGGATGAGGGGCAGCATCAGGCACAAATCGAGATACAATAAGCAACTGATTCTCAAACACTGAGCAATATGACATTTTATCGATTACAAATTAAATTATCCTCCCCTGGACTAAATAAAAAAATACTAAACCCTCCCCCTGACTGAAATTGAAAAAGCATGACACTTACCAATTTTCCTCCGGGTAACACATTTCGACCGCTCCCTAACTACATGATGAAGATAATACCACTTAGTCCGTCTCTCTCGTCCTCTCGTCTCATCTCTCCTCTCTCCTCTCTCGGCTCATCCTCTTTCGATCTCCTCTCATCTCTCTCCGGTCTCTCTCTCTCTCTGTCTCTGTCTCTGTGCCTCTGTCGTCTGTCTCCTGTCTCTCTCTTCTCCTCTCGTCCTCTCTTCTCTCCTCTTCTCTCTCTCCTCTCTCTCCCTCCCCCCTCTCTCTCTCTTTCCCCCGGCCTGTAGAGAGATGCTGCAGGAGTCTGTGTGTGATCTGAGGAGCACCATGACAGAGTTGGAGGAGAGACTAAACAGTGTGAACCTTGAGGGTGAGTCTGGACAGGGAGGGTGAGTCTGGACAGGGAGGGTGAGTCTGGACAGGGAGGGTTAGTTCTGGACAGGGAGGGGAGTCCTGGACAGGGAGGGTGAGTCTGGACAGGGAGGTGAGTCTGGACAGGGAGGGTGAGTCTGTATGGGTGAGTGGGACAGGGAGGGTGAGTCTGGTCAGGGAGGGTTGAGTGTGGACAGGGAGGGTGAGTCTGTATGGTGTGAGTGTGGACAGGGAGGGTGAGTCTGGACAGGGAGGGTGAGTCTGTATGGTGTGAGTGTGGACAGGGAGGGTGAGTCTGGACAGGGAGGGTGAGTGTGGACAGGGAGGGTGAGTGTGGACAGGGAGGGTGAGTCTGTATGGTGTGAGTCTGGACAGGGAGGGTGAGTCTGTATGGTGTGAGTGTGGACAGGGAGGTTGAGTCTGGACAGGGAGGGTGAGTCTGGACAGGGAGGGTGAGTCTGTATGGTGTGAGTGTGGACAGGGAGGGTGAGTCTGGACAGGGAGGGTGAGTCTGGACAGGGAGGGTGAGTCCGTATGGTGTGAGTCTGGACAGGGAGGGTGAGTCTGGACAGGGAGGGTGAGTCTGTATGGTGTGAGTGTGGACAGGGAGGGTGAGTGTGGACAGGGAGGGTGAGTCTGTATGGTGAGTGTGTGGACAGGGAGGGTGAGTCTGGACAGGGAGGGTGAGTCTGGACAGGGAGGGTGAGTCTGGTCAGGGAGGGTGAGTCTGGACAGGGAGGGTGAGTCTGTATGGTGTGAGTGTGGACAGGGAGGGTGAGTCTGGACAGGGAGGGTGAGTCTGGACAGGGAGGGTGAGTCTGGACAGGGAGGGT